CCCGATTGTGCAAAAGTAGCATCACACAATTCGCACTTATATGGTTTTTCTCCCGTATGACTTCTCATGTGTATCTTCACACTATTCAGACATGAGTAGGTAGCATCACACAGCGCGCACTTATACGGTTTCTCTCCCGTGTGACTTCTCATGTGTATCTTCACACTATTCAGACATGAGAAGGTAGCATCACACAGCGCGCACTTATACGGTTTCTCTCCCGTGTGACTTCTCATGTGTATCTTCACACTACTCAGACATGAGAAGGCAGCATCACACAGTTCGCACTTATACGGTTTCTCTCCCGTGTGACTTCTCATGTGTATCTTCACACTACTCAGACAGGAGAAGGCAGCATCACACAGCTTGCACTGATATGGATTTTGCCCGGTATTAATTCTCACGTACTCCATCGTGCTCCAGAGAAAGCTGCCACGTACTGGTCACACACGTCAGGTGTCTACCCTGTCTGGCGTTCAAGTTACGACCACGTGTTTTGCTTCGTAGACTGCCTCGTCACACTTGTAGAATTCCTATATAGGCTCTCCTATAAATTAGAAAAGAGAATACAAATAAATGCATTGAACAACGCGTATTGATGTAGAACAAAAACGCGCCCCATTTATGTTTGCAATATAACTGTTTATTCTGAATATCGAATTATTATCATCCAAACATCACGCGCCATTTAACGACTGTAAGGTCAAGCACATAATATATCACAAAACTAAATGCACTGAATTAATATAAGAAACATCCGTTTACCCAATGAAGTCTCTGAACGTCCGTGTGGTGTTCTCGTATTAGACTGATGTTACAAACGTCAATGGTGTGATTATATACCTGCTATTATGATGAAACCGCTCAGATATCCTGACACCCTGGTAACCGGTCTGATCTCCTGATACCAGGAGACAAGGTGGACGCTTCCCCTAAATAATTACAAAAGCAACTGTACACCTCGCCCTAAAACATTTCTGTAAAACTATCTCATGGTCTCTCCTGGGTTTGGTGCTTAAAAGTGACATCCGTACTGTGTAGGGATGTTGACTGTTATTTCTACCAAAGCAGGACTAACCAGCCTCGTAAACAAACACTAACCACAAATCACTGCATACATAATGTTCTTACGCACACCAAGCAATACCGCATCTCTGACTTCTTGAACTCTGAGCTCCTCACAGCACCCTGCAACCTTTTTTAATGTATCTCATTACATGTATATTAATTATTGATTGGTGACACCTACAAACCATATTTTACAACTGCGTAAGGTCCTGGAGCATGCATATGTTTTAATCCATCTTATGACTGATTTAGTGATGGCTATAATGATGGGGATATAGCGTAGTTCAGTCTTCACAGCTTGCTCGGCACGACCTTATTGGTTGTGTTATGCAAGGACTAGCATAGGTACTCAGTGTTGCTCAGGGGAAAACGTCCAGGGACAACTTGTAGAGCAAATCCTGACACATATAGGCCTACTTACTTACCTCTTAGCATAGAGTCGCAATAGAGGAACGAAATACATAAGGGGGTAAACAATATTGGGACAAAAACAGTTTGAAAGATTGTATGATTTTATGTAGTCAAAATCTTCTAAATATACATTGTGTAGAAAATGCTCCAAGTGTAACAGTGCGCTGCGCTGTGGTAATTATTTAAATTAGTTTATTTAGAATTACATATATGCTACGCGCAAGCCACACCCCCCTCAAGGCCACGAATGAGTGAGCCGCGTGTACGCTCTTAGGCTGTGTACGTAGCGACACGCGTCTTGTTATCTGTGACACATATACACGGCGATAGCGTGATGCTAGCGTCCCTTAGAACATACATAGTTTGGAAGCTTCGAGAATATGCGTTAATAATATTTATTGATTTATATTGCGCACGTTACATGCAGATATGTTCACGTGCGCATGACAGGCTAGGGGAAATATACGCGCACGTATAGTTGCCATAGAAAACCGGCGGTCGATTAATATGTTTATATTAATTACTACATATGATATTGTATACATGCATCTATATATATATATGATTATAGATATGATACAATGAAGTATGATACATGTATGTATATATACATATGTCATATCAAGCCCACTTAGCCTGTGTAATTTCGTATAACGCATGTGCTTACGTGTAATGCATGTAATTACGTATAAGCATGTAATTAGCCTGTGTAATAGCGGCTGTGTTATTGGCCTTAATTAGCCTTTATGTAGTACATCGCGGGTTGACAACGCGTAGATGGGTCGGGCGTGTACAAATGTCACGCCCTTATGAATATTCAATGAGCTAACTTTGTGGATTTGTGGGTGGCCATAAGAACATGTACGAGCATGGGGAAACAGACCACACACACCCCATCCGTGTTTATGACTGAGGCAGGATGTAAAGATGGTAGATTAAGCGCTTATCGGCTTTACTGAACCCTAGTAGAAATAGAATTTTCAGCGCTCAAGAGCTCGCAGCCTGGAAGCGGTGGTGACAAGGTAGCGGCCCCTAGTGTAGGAAATAAGATGTAATTGGGTGACACTTTAGACGTAATATGAGTGTAGCGCCCCCTAGTGATAGATAATAAAGCCATTATAGCCATTCTGACTAGTAGCGACATTTAGGATGACGTCACGCGCACGCATCCTATATAAGTAAGAACACGTCTTTGTGCTAACATACGCGTGTTCGTGAGTAGCGTCTAGCTACGTGTGTAGTTTTAGTGGTGTAGAAACTCCGAATCTGCGCTCTTTTACCGTGTGTAAGCGCAGCTGTTTTGTGTGCATATATAATGAGGTGCTACATTTTATATATATGTGAATATAGCATCGAATATGTGAATAACTAGAAACGAGCAGTTGTCGCCAACTACATGTATCCCCCGTGATCTAGTATGAATGGAATATCTCTGTAAGGA